AGATCAGCCCAGAGGTTGTTTCAGGGTTCTATCTGTGAGTTAGCCATGCCCTGACCTAGATCAGCCCAGAGGTTGTTTCAGGGCTTGATCTGTGACTTAGCCATGCCCTGACTAAGATCAGCCTTTAGCACGATCTAAAAATTGAACTGATTGTGGATTAGTTCGCGAAGCTGTGAAATATTATTGTCATATATTTTATATATTGCATGTATCAGATATATGTATATGTTCTCACACGTAGAGTAAGAAATAAGAAAAGAATCGAAACTATAGGCACTGAAAACTTACCGGTAAAAGACGGAAGCCAAAAGAAAATAATATGTTCCACATCTGGGTAGCCTGCGTCACATCCGGAATTTTCTTCCTAAGAAAAGACCGGATGGAGCGCAGGCTACATCTGAGGCGTTATGTCTCATCGTAGAAAGAAGCAAAATAGTTTAGTATCAGAGAGTATACAGTGATTTCCAAAAGCATCCCCTTATAAATTACAAATATCAAAGTGCCACGAGTTTATATTTTCAAATAAAAATTGGCTCGTTTGGTAAACAAATGTTTTAAATCCCTCGTATATTTTTGTAATAAAATTCTTGAATCACTTGATACTTTTGCTAACTTTTTATTGCTATAATTTAATAATACTCATTTAGTGTCTCGTTAATTATTACACAATAATGAGTTATTATTAATAAGAGTTACTTTTGACTTTTTTTTTCCTTCGCGTCATTTTGAAATATCTTGCTTGTTCTCGCTTTGGAACATTTGTACGTGCCTTGTTTCGGGATAAAGACTTCTTAGATTTCCTTTTCTAGCTTTTAAAATTAAGACTGCTCGATGCTAATTAGTCTAATTGTTCAGCCTGTATTTCCGTAGAGAAATAATCCTTCTTTTGTTTTATCTGACGTATATTCATTAACTATGACTATATTAACTAAAGTTCAACAGTGCTTAAAACGTGCTCTAACGCATAAAAACCGTGCGATATAGTTTGTGATAATTATTTTTAATAATTTAACAGTTGCTCGAAGGCAACAACTTAAGGAGTTCTCCTCCATTTTGAAAATTTTCTCCCATTTTTTTGGCTTTTTGGTTAAAGTTTCGGCTTTTTTAAAATTCATATTTCCCTGGAGAACAAAAGGACGTCAAAAACCTGGCAGAAAAGAGCCAAGCAGCCATAAAATATTTTAATCTTCAACACAAACGAAAACACATTCCTGTGAAAATCTACATTTTGAAGAATCTTCGAAGACGCTCGACTCGTACTTTGCTTACATCCAAGGAGGTTGAAAAAGACTGACAGTCTTTCCGAGGAAGACTTAAGGAATTCGTAAGCATGGATCAGTTATTATTCGAGTCTTGTTCTTCATAATTTTAGTGTTGATTCAAAGGCCTAATTACCCCTAAATGGCTATTGAATTGAGAGAGTGTTTATCGCATGTTGGGCGGCAGTTTTTTGTTTGTTGTCACAAACACTGCGAGCTTTAACTAAAGAGGAAGTCAACAAGACACCAATGCGCAAACATGTTTGGTTTTGGCCAGGAAATACGCCGTCCAAACACCCAAGAATTGACCAGAGATCGACGGGTTTGTAAAGGAAATGTTTTGAGTCGTCGAAAGTCGATCGAACAAGTAGCAAAAGAAGAGTTAGGACGCTTGGTATTGCCAGACATTCATAAATCTCGTTCGACTGATACCAGTTCAAGATACGAACCAACAAAGACGAAAGGCTACATCAGAAGAGGGTACACTTTTGATTTAAGAAGGCTCAAAGCTGATAATTCATTATCTTTGGATGAAGATGATATTGAGCAATTGTTGTCCTTCAAGTCACTTGATTCCCTGAACAATGACAAACAAGATGAAAACTATTACGTTGCGAAATATTCGAGAAGGTGTTCACAAGACAGTGAAGGCAAAAACAGGAGAGAATACAGTTCTCGTGGCGATAATGACAGCGGATTTAGCGAACCTTCGGCAAATCAAGACGAGTCAAATAACAGCGAAAAGCAGCACCGAGACCGAAAAATTAAAGCTGAAAAAATTAAGTACTGCCGAGAAAATACTCGTGGTCACACAACAACATGGCAAAGAAGAAGCTCTTTTCCAGACGTTCCTTGCCCTGTTGATTTACCTTCGCGTCTTGTTGTTAGGAAGGCGGTGCAGGCAGATACTGGTGCATCTATGTGTACTCAGTCTATGAATTCATTAAGTGCGGATCTTGCTATGTTTAAGGATGCAGTTTCTAGAGGACTTAAAGAGACTAAAATTGATAGAACAAAGACTCCCTATTCGTTATCAAAGGCTGTTCCTGAAAAGAATAAATCCGTGTCCTATGTGATCGATGATACAAGATCAAGTGAGAGTACCACTGGGTCAAGTCCAACACGAAGTGAATCAGTGTCAAGCATTACTGCTGCTGCAGATTCAAGTTTTGCTGTTTTTAAGAAAAAAAGAAAAAACTTGTTATCTCGTTCGCAGAAAAGTCGTGAATCAAGAAGCTCTAGTGAGTCACCATTGTCCGGCCCTGGCGAAGAAGAGAACCATCCTCGTACCTCGCCAGCATCTTCGCAATTTTGCGCAATAGAAATAACTCATGAAACTTCGTGTCGTAAGAAAAGCGTCGCGTCGGAAACAGTTAATGGATGTTGCACGTGTGTGTCTCCGCCTCGTGTGCGGGTTTCACTCAAAAACGATCTAAAAACCAGAGAAAATTTATTGCGCTCGAATAAAAAGGAAGTGCGAATGCCAACAACGTATTACGATTGTTACACCCCCGTGACTTCAAAATTAATCCAGTTAAGTGCGGAAAAGGGAAATGATTTTGCACCGTTAAAAATAGACTCAAAGGTTGCCACAATGCAACACGCGCTCGCAGAATTTAAGGAGCGTAAGCCATCAAAGATTCTCTCTAATTTCGGTAAGTACTTCATGTATGCCTGATTATAATGTCCTGGCGGTGTGCTTTATGTTATCGTGCATGATGACGCTCTCTCACTGTATCCTAGTGTATCCACTGTATCCATTGTATTCTCTGTATCCTAGTGTATCCACTGTATCCATTGTATTCTCTGTATCCTAGTGTATCCAGTGTATCCACTGTATCTACTGTATCCAGTGTATCCTAGTGTATCCAGTGTATCCAGTGTATCCACTGTATCCACTGTATCCACTGTATCCTAGTGTATCCTAGTGTATCCTAGTGTATCCTAGTGTATCCACTGTATCTACTGTATCCAGTGTATCCTAGTGTATCCACTGTATCCACTGTATCCACTGTATCCTAGTGTATTCACTGCATCCTAGTGTATCTAGTGTATCCATTGTATCCACTGTATCCAGTGTATCCTAGTGTATCCACTTTATCCACTGTATCCGCTGTATCCACTGTATCCACTGTATCCACTGTATCCACTGTATCCAGTGTATCCTAGTGTATCCACTGTATCCACTGTATCCAGTGTATC